ACAGTATTATCTCACTAAACTCTTCAAGCCTCAGTCTTCTCAGCTGTGAAATGGAATTACAATGCTGATGTGCCAGGTGGCCTACATGAATGAATTGGTGAGAGTTGTCTGTAGACTGTCACTGAACTAGAGAGTATTATGAGCACAGTGAGGATTTTCATCCGAGGCATAACAGATTCCCTACACCCCAGGGTCCTCATGTGAAAGGTGGTATGTCAGCAGTATCTTAATAATAAGTTCTGTGATTTCAGCTGCCAATGCACACAAAGAGAGTGGTCATCAAAGTGCCTGGCTCGCTCATACTAAACATATGGGAAATGATAACTGCTTCTAACCTTATATTTGTTAATATTGTTTATTATTATTACAGTGCTAGGGCTGGAATCTATGGCCTCATGCCCACTAGGCAAGTGTTTTCCCTTGAGCTGCATCTCCAGCTTCATTTTTTTTTTTTTTTTTTTTTTTTTTTTTTTTTTTAAAAAAAAAAAAAAAATTGATATAGGATCTCCCTGAAGCCCTATAGCCCTATAGACCAGGCTGGCCTAAATCTCACAGAAATCTATCTGCCTCTGCCTCCTGAGTGCTGAGCTTAAAGGCATGTGCCACCATGCCCAGCCTCATGTTTATTTTTGTGTTTGTGCATATATATTACACATGTGTGTTTGTGTGCACATGGAGGCTGGAGGTCAATATAGGATGCCCTCTCAATCACTCTCCACCAGTTTTTGAGACAGGGTCTCTCACTGAACCTGGAACTTATTCAGCTTGATTGGCTGCTCAGTAATCCCCAGGCATCCTCCTGTCTCTGCATCTCCCGTACTGTGATTACATGTATGTACTGCTGTGGCTTCCCTATTACATGGGTGCTGGAGACTAAACTCAGGTTCCCATGCTTGCCCGGCAAACACTTTACAAATTAAGTCATCTCGCCATCCCCTCCTGATGATGTTTAAAAAGATCAGATCTTTGCCTTGCGTCTCACTAACAGAATACATTAGTGCTTCACTCATAGACTGGTGGAGAACTGCCCTAGGTTTGAGTCTTATAGAAAAGCATGAGTGCTTCTTATCCCCTGACCTTCTTAGGAACAAGTGGCAGAAGGTAGCTGAAGCAGGATCCTCTCCTGCACTATCCCTGTAGCCACAGGGCAGAGCCTGACATTCCTGCCCTCTTCTGTGTGTTCTTGTGTTCAAAGTGGACAGTGGCTTTCTGTGGGATCAGCAGGGATGCCGGGCTAATGCTGTATACTGACACTCACCACTTAGAAGGACTTGCCACAGGGGCCATGGGAAACCTCTGCTTTGACTGACACAGGATGGGTGTGTGGAGGAGACCATCCATCACTGTCAGGAAGGATCTGAAGCACCTGGTTATTCAGGTGAAATAAAATAAATTATTTACCGATCTCAGACTGGAGCCGCTCACTTGAATACTCATGAAGTGTGCCATTTGCTGCCCTGAAGTTTGGCTTGAATTGAAGAATTTCTAGATTGCTGTGTGCAGGTGTGGTTTTGTGAGTGAGGGGGCTGTCATGTGCTTGGTAAGGAGGAAAGACTCTCAAGCTAGCTATTTGACTTAAACTACCTGGGAAAATGAGCTTCCTTATTCATTATATGGCACAACAGTCAAGGGCACAGTTTATCCAACGGCCACTTCTGTATGAGTACCTAGTGAAGTGTCTGTGTTTGCTGCTAAAGCTTTAATTTAGTTCTTAACAAAAGCAAACGCTCTAGGCTGTTTTAGACCTCCCCAGAGCTGTGACTGTCCACCAGAGGGCGCTATGTGTGCCACTGGAAGTATCTGGAGCTCCTGCGATCTCCAAGCCTCACTTCAGAGAACTCAGCTCTGGGGGAGAGACACCCACATTACTGCCATGATCTTTTTCTACCATTGTGGCAAGATCTGGGTTTAGCAAGGGATCCTGTCTCCAAAATATAAGGTGGAGGCAAAGGTGAGTATGGGTTGTCAGGTGTGGCCGTCTACACTGAGTTCAAAATGGTGCCAAGATGGCCACCCTGAGCTTGGACACCTGGAAGATCAAGTGCTGCCCATTCCTAGTGGAGGAAGAATTGATCTAGTGCTACCAAAGGCATTGATAGTGACTGCTTACAGTCCTCCCGGCTCTTCCCATAGACCCTGGTGCTGATCTGTCCTTCATATAAGTCTGTGATAGCAGCTTGAATTGTTGAGAACTTTACCACGACACAAGTCAGGCATCCAGGGATGTACAGGTGTTTGGGAGGCTGATGTCCTCCAGGCTTACTAAGCATAGACCTGCTGCAGGCCGAGCTTTCAGGATTGCAGGATCAGGCTGATGAACATGCATGTAAGACATGTTCTCCATGTTCCTGGAGAACAGAGATATGGAGATGACTCACAGGACTCAGAATAACTGTAGGGTTTCCAGACTATCAACATGGTGGCTGCTCAAGGAGCCACAATCTTCTAGAGCCTGGGTCCTTGAACTGTAGGCCACAACCTATATGGATGAGGTCATGTAACAGAATGAGGGGACTGTGAGGGGAAATTTGTAACAGTAAATGGTTCTGAACATGCCCCAACTGAAACTTGATTTAGAATCAACAGGTAATGGACCTCAGGTGTTCCTGGTGGTGTTCACCCATGTTGGGTCTCCTCATGTCACTGCAGCCTTGGCTCTAATTATCCAACACACTTACTTGGCAGTACACATGCTGTCAGGCCACCTAACTGTCAATCAACACGGCCTGCAACACCTCAGCTGGGCTCTAAGACAAGGCTGTGTTATGAACAGCAGCGTTCATACTGTACACACACTGTTCTGCTCTCATGGATCGTATGCTCTATGACCAGGGTACACCAAGTCCTCTAGTAGCTGCTGACTACTGTGCTTGCTATATGCCAGACACCTTTCCAAGACTTCTGCCTGTATTCTGACATTTCATCCTCATAATTACCTAAGAGATAGGGATTATTATTATCTTTATTTACAGATGAAAAAATTAATGCTGGGTGTGGTGGCACATGCCTTTAGTCCCAGCACTTGGGAGGTGGAGGCAGGCGGATCTCTGTGAGTTCAAGGCCAGCCTGGTCTACATAGTGAGTTCTAGGCCAGCCGGAGCTGCAGGAAGACCCTGTCTCAAAAAGACCAAAAAAAAAGTAGGGCTGTGAATCACCTGCCAGTGGTGATACAGTTAACAAATGATAAGGGTTTGCACCCAGACTTCTGACTGCTGACCTGTCTTCCCTACACTGCCTCTAGACTAACAGCTCTCCATTTCCACAGGCCTGCCACTTGCCAGCCTAAGCATCCTACCCCAGTCCTCACAGATGTCAGGGCTTGTCCTGATGCCACTCTCATCCAAACAAGGCAGAACTGGGGCTCATAAAGATGGAAAGCCTTGCTTAAGGTTATATGGCTGGGAACTGACAGAGTCACAGCTTGGGCCAGTCGAGGTCCATTTGCCCACTTCATACCTCCGAAGCTGCACTCCCAGCATACCGCGAGTTCCTGTCAATAAAGCTGGGAAGAGGCTCAGTGACCTCTAGCCTCTACTCAAACACCCCAAACAGTCATGCACAAATACATAGCTGGAAAGAAGGTTTGAAGAACTTTTTGAGGCTTGTTACAGATTAGTCAGATTCAGATTAATGCAAAAATCAAAGATTTTATTGTAACAAAGGATTTCTGAGAAATAGAAAATTTGCATAGCCTAGAGTTAGAATTAAATGTTCTCCTCCTATGTAGTAGGTAGACAAGGCCCTGGAAAAGGTGGTGACAGAGCCAGGGACCATTCACCTCCCTGTGTGAGCCCGTTGTCCTCTCTGCTCCTCCTCTCCAGTCAAGAGACCTTTGTTAGGGGGCAGGAGATGTGAGCTGGTCAGACCTGGGCTCTATTTGACACCAGCACAATCTGCCCCTCATTTACCACCTCTCTTAGGTTGGGTGGCAAAAATGCCTTCCTTCTAGATAGCTAAGGAATGCAGGGAAGCACAGTGACTCACAGACAGTGGACACCTAGAAAAAGTGACCATGATGATGGTGATGATGAATTCATATTATGTTGACTAATATGGCACCTTTTCTATTCCTGCTAGGTTTAAGTTAAACAGAAATTCAGTGTTTAATCTGAAAGAATCAAGCCCAGACATCAGCTGAAAGTAAGTTCCAGACTGTCTAGTGAGAACCAAATATAACCTGAGATCATAGTAAGCTTCTAAAATGAGTAGGAGCTGAGCTTAGTAAGGAAAGGCGTGCCTGTTGTCTACAGCAGCTCTGAGGACAGCATGTGGGGGAAGCATAGGACAAGAAGTTAGGAAATGTCATAGAGCCCACAGTTTGAGGAGAGCCTCCAGTGAGTGGAAGACGACAGGACAGAACACTCAGGTGGGAAAAGGATGTACTTTAAATTTCATTAAAAAAAATTTTATTTATTTATTTTTATTTTATGTATATGAGTGTAGTGCCTGCATGTATGTGAGTGCACCTGTGTCGTACGATGCCATGGAGGTCAGAAGAGGGTATCAGATTCCCCTGGAACTGGAGTTAAGACGGTTTGTAGCCACCATGTGGGTGCTGGGAATCGAACCCAGGTCCTCTGTAACAGCAGTCAGTGCTCTTAACCGCTGAGCCATCTCTCCAGCCCCTAAATTTCATTAAAAAAAAATATTTTTTATTTACTATTTTTATTTCATGTGTATGCATGTATTGCTTGCATGTAGGTAAGTACACCTGTGTCGTGCAATGCCCACGGAGGACAGAAGAAACTGTAGGATCCCCTGGGACTGGAGTTATGGACAGTTGTTAGCTGCCATGAGGGTGCTGGGATTTGAACCTGGGTATTCTGCAAGAACAACCAGTGTTCTTAACCGCTGAGCCATCTCTCCAGCCCCTAAATTTCATTAATGCTTCCTCAGAAAACAATCTTTAGTCATCCAGGTCACATAAAAGTTGCATGCCATTTCTCTCCATGTCTGTGCTGACTACTGAGACAGCTCAGTTCATGGAAGCACACACTTACCTAACTGCACGTCAGTGGTGAATCGCAATCTGTGGATCATGCTGACTTTGAATGACTTGTAATGGTGGCTGCTGAGCATATCCTGTACCGTAGCTATGTCAATTTGTGAATCCTCCTCAAAAACTCCATCTGCCCTTGAACCTGGGGAAGAAAAACGCAGCTTAGCACATAAAGATACATGAGGCTTGGCAAATGGTGTCTGCTTAAAATGCTTTGGGATAAATTAAAATAATATGGGCTATTTAATTTAGAGAAGAAAAGGCTGTGCGATGACTTAATAATGCCATTCCAGTAAACAGAGAATGGTAACATATTAATCATTCAACAATTAATTCCACAAACACTGCCTATTCTGTGGCAGGCCCTTGGCTGGGCAGTAGGGAGTGAAGGATAGAAACGTCCTGCTTGTTCTCTCCAGGCAGCTCGGTCTCCACAAGAGCCCCCAAGAGCTTGCCATTCTTCTTGTTCCTTTTTCTAAATGCAATTTTCCTGTCGCGGGGTAATCCAGGCTCCATGAATAAACCCTGCCCCTTCCAAAAATCCCAACACTCTGTGCTCCTTGGCGCCCCCTGTTCAGGTGGGTGCTTAGATGTCTCACTGGCCCCTCGCTGGCCTTCAGGATGCCAGACGGCCTCTGAAACCTGGTCACCACATGACTCCTGACTCATTATTGTTCCAAAAGCTTGGTCACTCAATCACTCACCAAGTGTTCAGTGAGAGCCAGGTGCATGCTAAGCACCTTACTATGTGATATGAGAGACAAACAAGAAGACCGCTGCTCCTAAACATCTTCTGGATTCTAGACCTCCTGAATCCTAGACCTGCCTAGGCCAGGCAGCGTATTAACTGGCTCAACAACTCCAGTCTTTCTCATCACAATACCTTCCCTTAGGTCCTCAGATTGCTCACAAGTCCAAGGTTACACCAGGCAAAGGCAAACTAGCCCTCAGTGCCCAGAGTCTGAGCCATGCACTTCTCAGGTACACCTGCTGGGCCCAGAAGACTCCTTCATTCTTGCTCCAGAGTGGACAAACCCTCCCTTCCTCAGGCCAACTCAGATTCCACCTCCTCCATGAAATTTTTTGACGGCTCTGCCTGGCAGTGAATCTCCAACGGCTGGTGTACACTGGATCCTGGAACTGGGGAGACCTGGGCTCAAACCCCAGCTCGACCTCTGATGTGCTGTGTGGTCTTAGCTACCTCTGTGAACTCATTTTTGTCATTCACAGAATGTCAAAATTCATGTAAAGAATCTAATACATAATATGCTTAATAAATAGCAACCCATGATCATTTTTATTCATCAATGAGATGTTTATATTGAACCTTGCCTTAGAACTATTTAGTGGCTTCTTTGTCCACCAGTGGAAGCTTCCTGAAGGTCAGTGAAGTTCCTTATTCATCTTTACACTTTCAGAGCAGTACAGGCATGTGTGTGTTTTCACTAGTTTTGCTAAAGAAACGATAGCTAGCATATATGAATGTATACGGGTGTCAGGCATGATGAAAGTTCTATATTCCTGTCATGACATTTAAGCCTCATGACAACATGGAAGGACTTGGAATTTCCCATCTTAGACAAGGAGTTGTCATCTTCCAAGGTCACAGCAGCAAAGGCAAACCTTCCCTCAGTGCCCAGTCTGGGGTGTGCACTTCTGAGGGGTGGCTGTCCATGCTGCTTGGGAATGAGAGGAACACATGCCTGGCAAGGGCCAACCAGACAGGGGCCCTTGGTCCTGTTTGAGCACCCAGACATGGCTCCAGGGAAACTCAGAGGACTCCTTGGGACAGAGTTGTGGAACAGAAAACTCTAGATTTCTCAAAGTAGAAACTGCTGTTACATAATTGACAATCTGATAATTATATGCTTTTCTTTCCCCAAGGGGCAACCTTTTTAAGAAATCAGTTTTTACCTGGTGTGGGAGTACATGCCTTAATCCCAGAGAGAGGCAAGCCAGCCTCATCTACATAGGGAATTGTCTCAAAAAACCAAAACATAGAAAATAAATCAGTTTCCTTTCCTTTCACATCGAGCTCACTTATTAGGACCTGTGTGTTCTGTTATTCACAATGTGGATGGTATAGCACCTGCAATAGGCTTTCCTGCTGAGAAGCAAGTGAGGCTCCATAGTCCTCTTAGATCATGGGCACCCTGCTTCCTGTCTTACTCCCTTCTGACCTCCTCCCTGTTCCTCAAGAGCTTGGCTTAAAAGAGGCTCCAGAGCCAGACGTGGTGGCGCACGCCTTTAATCCCAGCACTCAGGAGGCAGAGGCAGGGGGATCTCTGTGAGTTCAAGGTCAGCCTGGTCTACACAATGAGTTCTAGGAGAGCTGGAGCTACAGGGAGACCCTGTCTCACAAAGATCAAAAAAAAAAAAAAAAAAGAGGCTCCAGACAGGGAGATCTTCCCTGACTCCAGGCCCCAAAATCTAGTATGGCTCCTTCTCTAGGACAGTTACCAAGCAAGTCAATATCTGTTCTGTCAGTAGACTGCAAGCCCTGGGAGGGGAGGGCAGGCACAATGACAGCTGTGCTCACCCGCACAGTCCTGCAGGCTGGGTACTGGGGGTCATGTCTACAGAGGAGGAATATCAGAGGAGCTGCAGAACTGGAAGCATGCTGCAGGACAAGCTGAGCAGCACCCCACCGCTGCAACAGTCAGCTGGTGAACCATTCCCTTTCTTTGAAGCACCTGTGATTTTGGACAGGGGTATCCCCTGCTTTTCTGGGGACCATTAATGTGACATCACAGTGAGGGACTGGATGGTAGGAAAGTTTTGAACAGTCACCTTTCTCCAAGCCACACATTAACTGAAATGTAGCTGCCAACATGCATTTATCACTATTTTAGCATTTTTTTATACATGAGAATTATAAAGAATTTTAGTAAAATATTAAAGTCCTTTAATGTTTTAAAAGTCATTTGCAGCCATATTTTCTGAATGTCATATTAGCTAAAACTTAGCTCTGGGTTCTAGAACTTGTTTTCTTTACTAATTGGTATTTTCTAAATATTGTAGGTATTTGGTTTGGAAGCGGCAATAGCTCATTACGCTAAAATGCCAATTACTAAAAAACCCCAAAAACCACACTTAAAGATTTTTGCATTTTATGATGTTGGATTAAAACCAATTTAAAAATTACTATAACGTGACATATAATTTTTTACTGAGTAATTTCAATGCCAGCTGCTAATAAAGCATCTTAGCTGTAAATGATAATTCAGACGCTTTTAGATAAAGTGGTACATAAATATGGCTGGAAATTGATTTAGCTTCATACAGAAGCTACTGAAGAATGACATATTTTGTTTAATACACCAGCTAATGTAGTCCTAAAAGCTCAAACAAGTGCCAGTTTTCACTCCTAAATTTGCTGTGGGAGATTAATGAAAACTTTATATTTTGCTGAAATGTTAATAATGGGCAGATGAGACGATAGGATTTTAGTCAAGGTCTTATAGCTACGGAATAACCAGCAAGGCTTGTCAATTTCCTTCTATTAATTTTGTTCAAGACTCCATAGCTGGAGCCGGTTCAACACTAATGCTTCATGCATTGACCTTCTATCTCTGTCAGTGTAATTTAGGATTAGGAAGGTACATACCAGAGGAGCAGGGACGGCCCCTTCCTGCACCCTGCTGCTCACTCAAAGCAGGTCATCTGCTGAATGGGAACAGCTGCTCTCAGAGCTTCACTGCTGGTTTTTGAGTAGGCCCATGAGTGCTTCTGCACGGGAGAGCTTACCTGTGTGTACATGTGTGTCTTGCCTGTCTAGCAGTGTGCAGAATGATGAGAGGGTACTGGCAGGAGAGGCAGAGCACCTCCAGAGCTTAAAGCCTACTACAGAACACAAAGGAGCAGGATCCTGGCCGTGGTGGCACACACCTTTAATCTTGGGAGGCAGAGGCAGGTGGTTCTCTGTGAGATTGAGGCCACTTGGTTCTACATAAGGAGTTCCAGGCCAGCTGGGGCTACAATGGGAGACCCTGTCTCAAAAAAAAAAAAAAAAAAAAAACAACAAAAAAAGACAGGGCAGA